TGTCAACTTTCAATTTCAAAATGAATTGCTTGTTTTATGGAGAAAATTGTTATATAGTTTCAGAGAGTAAAAAACCTAAAGACAAGAGGGATATTTTTGAAGTTCGAACGATTAGTTCCAAAGATTCCATTCTTGACATGGCTGAATATCGTGGTGATGTGTGGGGTCGAGCTGTTATTGAACGGAGATCAAGCTGCTGAAGCCAGGTATCACCATACATGTTATAAGAAATTCTATAACAGACCACGGTCTATCCGAGGGAAGGGTACACCTACAGATGAAAAACCTAGCAGAGCCTGTGATGATTTGTTTGAATTTCTGGAACAAAATGATGAATGCCAGTATTCAACAGAGGATCTCACGAGCAAACTGAGGGAATTTCATGTTGATGGTGAAATTGAATGCAGTGAAAAACCCTGAGATAAAATTGCTAGCTCACTTTGGCGATGGTGTTATCATTTCTAGCATTCGTGGAAGGAAACCTTTATTTTCGCAGTATAAATACTGGCCACAAGATCCTTAGTTATGCATGGAATTCTCAGAAGTGGGGAAACCCTGAAGAAGAACGGTTGCGCATAGTGAAAACAGCAGTGGATATCATACGGGAGGACATGAGGTCAATGCTTTGTGATACTGACCATTACACTCCTGCTGATGATGCTTTTCATAATCACATGATGAATGTGCCTAATAATCTCAGTGTTTTGGTTGAAAGGACAAATATAAGAAAGGTGACGCTGCTACAAAGCAAAGGAAGGCATCTGATATTTGTCATCAAATACTCTCAGCAACAAGAGAAAGATAATTTCTTTCTATGATAGAACTTGGTTTAGCCGTGTATATTCACCGACAAATTGGATCTAAGCACCTTCTGGATGTTATGTCAGCCGTGTTCATCATATAATGAGGCTATTTCCTATGAACATTCTGCAATGCCTGCAGATCATGAGATTGGTGAAAATGCCTTCATGCAATTTGTCTTTGACAATGCAGATTTTAATGTTCGCACACTTGATGGATATGGCACATTTTAAAGTATGGATGGAATCATGTGTGTCACACCAGGTAGTTCTATCTGATGTTGTCAAGCGTAACAAAGCTGTTTCAAAAGACAATGCCAGGTCCAAGTCAATTGACATTTTGACTTGTTCATTTCCGAGCAAGTAAGGTGTGCTTGGTTTGACTGTTGATGACATTTCACATGTCAGAAGCTGACCTCTTCTAGCTCTGTGCGTATTCTTTTGGATGCCCTTTGGATGAGTGGAGTATGGTTGAAATTGGAGGACGCTCCCTGCTGGAGTGGATACATGGAGTGTGCCTGAAGTGTTGACAATTATGAAATATCCAAAGTGATCCCATTGGCATTTGTCAACTTGCAGGCATCGAATCCAGACGCAATGTATTATGTGCTGGCATATTCTGCTGACAAATGCAGGAAACATTGACAGAAAACATGTTTTGTGACATTTGACCAACCTCTATATGAGAAAGCTGTTGTTGTAGCTTCACACCAGAACAAAAATACTCTAGCTTCAGTTGTTGTCAGACTTGATGGATTTCATCTGCTTATGTCTTTCATGGGTTCGGTCAGTTATATAATGGGTGATAGTGGATTGAAAGAGCTATGGTCACTCATCTATGCCTCTGACTCTACTGAAAAAATGTTGACAGCCCACGCTTATGCAAGAGCATTGAGGGCCTATACTCCGACACAGTTAGCAATAGCTGTTATTGCACTGCAGAAGGTCAGCCTGGATGAAACAAGTAAAGCTGTATAAGGATGTTCAAAACAACCATGTGATCCCTGATGAACGTCCAGCAATTGCAAATGTCACAAACCTTGTCGAAAAACTGACTGCAGTTATGGAATTTGAATCGTGTCAGTGCAGAACTGCCAAGTTGTGGTGTCAATATTTTGAGCAAGTTTCTTTGATACACCAGTCCATTTGAGCTGAAAGGATCAGAGACTGGGATCTACATCTTGATGCTGCCTGCAAGATGATACCATATTTTCATGCTGCAGGACATATTGCTTATGCCAAAAGTGCCCATTTGTATGTCACAGCTGAGAGGTATTATGCCCAAGGATGAATTTGAAGCTTTTACCAGGTTTGGTGGTTTTACTGTCAGGCGAAGTGACAAGATGTGGGCTGGCATCTGGACAGACATGACAATTGAACAGGTTCTCATGCGGGCGATGAAGACATCCGGTGGTTTCACTCATGGACGAGGACTGACAAACAGTGTGTTGGTGCAATGGATCTTGGCAATGCCTGGTTGTACTGAAATGATTCAGTACTTCGAAGAATTTTGTGGGACCAGATTTTGTAGTGTTGACCAGCACGTAGAACTAAGGATGTCTAGAACGGAGAGGAATACCAGTGACGTTAACAAGCTGATTGAATGGCTATCAACCCATTCTCCATTTGAACAAGGACAGGAACTGGTCTCCTTGAGTAGTGGAATTGTAGGGAAGAAGACATTACTTGCGATTCTTCACTTGCAATTGGAGATTCTGCTATGAAGAATATAAAATACACAATGCCATACGAAATACACAATGCCATTTTAGAAAGTGATCAAATGTAACATATGTTATATTTGCGATTACACTATCTTAGTAAAGTACAAATTCTAGTACTTTGGGGGTTGAGTCCCATCCGGGACTATATGAAGACTATATGACTAAATGAAGAATATAGTTGGCAAAAACTTTGGGGATCTGCATATTCCAAGAAAAAACAGAGTACTCCCCATATCTGTCATTCATACAGAATGAGGTTATACCTGTCAATACCATGCAGACTTTTTATGGCATCCTGTGCCTCATGAAAACAGATGATGACTTTTTATCCTGTTTGAAATGTGAACTTTCTCCATGTCCTCTATCACTATTCGATGAGTACTGAATGGGAAAAACAGAAACATCTGTCATGTACTCTGTCATTGATTCTGTGTCAGGCAAACAAAGCCTTCCACATGATGAGGAAGTTCCTCAAGATGCTGTGTACATAGTTGATGGTGGATACTTGCTGAGAAACGTGATATGGCCCCAAAGCAGAACATACAATGATGTTTATGATGCTTATCTGACATATTTCAATAGACACTTTGGATACAATTGCATCATTGTGTTTAATGGGTATGGCGAGTCTGTGTCCACAAAAGGTGTTGAACAGAGTCGGAGAGTATCCAGATATCTGAGCACTGATATTGTTTTCAATTCTGAACCAAACTCACTCAATCTTTAGGAGTAACAACACTTTCCACATCTGTATCTAACAAACCAGTTACTGGTAAACAAGAACACAGTGAAATCTTAAATATCCAAAATATAAACTCTCTTCCAAATGTCACTTAAAAAGCTAAAATATACAATAAATCTAAACATATAGAAAAGCATTTACTAAATTACACGCCACACATAATCGTAGCCGTAAGGAACACCCCTCCTCACAAGCACACGCATCTCACTCACATACACACACACCACACCACACCACCAACACTCAACAACATCACACCACACCACCAACAGTTAACCGCACCACACCACACCAATACTCAACCACACAACACCACACCACACCACACCACACAACACCACCAACACTCAACCACATCACACCACACCACCAACACTCAACCACACCACACCACCCATCCACACCACACCACACCACACCACACCACACCACACCACACCACACAACACCACCAACACTCAACCACACCACCAATACTCAACCACACCACACCACACCACCAACACTCAACCACACCACACCACCAACACTCAACCACACCACACCACCAACACTCAACCACACCACACCAACACCACACTACATCACCAACACTCCACACCACACCACACCACCAACACTCCACACCACCAACACTCAACCACACCACACCAACACCACACTACATCACCAGCACTCAACCACACCACACCACACCACACAACCAACACTCAACCACACCACACCACACCACACCACCAACACTCAACCACACCACACCACACCACACCACCAACACTCAACCACACCACACCACCAACACTCCACACCACCAACACTCCACACCACCAACACTCAACCACACCACACCAACACCACACTACATCACCAACACTCCACCACACAACACCACACCACACCACACCAAGTTATTTTAAATGTAGTCACGACTCCTTTCCATCAACGTACTTACAGGGATCTGGATCTGTGTATGTTTTAATATGTAAAAGAAATCACTGTGGAGTGTGCATCGTCCTTTGGCAATTAATTTAGTTGTTATAACTAGCAGTCATATTAACACATACCTGGTTTGTGCTAACATCAAATTAATATATCTCATCATCAGGCACACATGAATGCTTTGGTAAGTGATACGTTAACTTTGTCAGTTAGTACACATATGTGTTTATTTCTTCCAGGTGTGAGCTACCTGCTGACAAACATTGATGGAGTTAGAGTTGCAGCAGGGGAAAGCTGGGGATTCTACCTGCTTGATTATCCACAGCTGGGATATAACGTCACAAGGACTGTAGCGCCATACAGCGTGAATTATACTTCTGTACATCATTTTATGAGAGTGACGGTGGGTGTGGAAAGCAAGACCTTCCTTATCCATGTCTTCGGTAAGGACATGAGCATTTACGGAAACAAAGAGGTAGGACTCTTTTCGCCTCTCCCGATCTTCGCCCTCGGTTCTAGGTATGTACCCATGGTCCCTAGTATGGTCATCTACTTTCAATTGTTGGCTATCTATAGCTTGTTTTTATATTGTCTTGTCATTTATAGTTATTTTAGATTGAATTACTTGTTTTAAATGTATTTCTGTGATAATCTAGTTGTTTTACTGTCCTTTGCAGACAGGTAAGTATATTTTCTAACTTTCTTTTTATTCATTTATGTATTTACAACTTTCTTAGTCACGATATGGCGGACATACTTCCGATGTGACTTTAAATTTTAACTCACTCACTCTAGGTATGTAGTGTCCACCTGCCTGGGATCCATGGACCACGTGGTGTTAGTGATTGCTAACTACAACCGAAAGACGGACGTGGACATAACGCTGATGCTTGAGGGGAACGTCACCTATGACAACATGACATACAACGACGGAGACACGATCCACGTGAGTCTAGATGAGTATCAGACCTTCACGTTGAAGAGCGCCTATGACCTGACTGGAACTGTTATCAACACAACACGTGCTGTAGCTGTGTTCAGTGGGGCAATGACAGGAGGTCTTGTCCTATCCGTTGCCCAACTATTACCTGTACGACATCATGGGACAGAGTATGTTCTGTCTACACGTGAATATTCCGTTTTAAGGAACTATAAATACCAGCTACAGGTTGTTAGTGACCAGACTGACACTGAAATTATTGTGAACGGATCTACATTCACTTTTGGTGTCAACCGTGTGTATCGCCAATATCTCGTGTATAACAAGACACTGTATTTTAATACCACAAGACCGGTTATTGCTACCATTTGTAGGACAGGAGCAAATCTAAATTATCGAGCGTTTGTTGTTGCAACTCCGGTAAAGTATTTTTTTAACGATGCATATGTTCATTATGCATACTGTGTAAACATACTGACTAAACAACACGTAACAGATATTGAAGTATTTGGTGCTGACATGACCCCTGCTACATTGGACTGGGTGGACATCCCTGGCAGTGATTACAAAGCTGGAAAAACTTGCTTGCACGACAGTCACTTTGTCCGCTCTACCAACAGATTCGCTCTGTATGGGTTTTACTACGACATTTTCAATGGAGGCTTCCATTACCCAAACGACCCAACAACCACACGTGCTGCTGCAGGTAAGTTGTGCGATACTTTCATTCTGAAAAAGGATAAAAATTAAGCAGGAGATAAACCTACGTTGTTTTCAGTGTGAAGCTGTGGAATCTGTAGATTTATGGCTGTATTGAAATTAGAATGATGTTAGGATATTACACATTAGCTGTTGCACTGTAGTAAATACGAACAATAAGATACATTGATTTGGTGGGGAGGGAATGTGCCAGATCTGATACACATAGATGAACAGGAGTCTGTACGATGCTTTATCTACACTTAGTATGTTTTCGTGTCTAGTTTCAAATGCTTGAGAAAAACAAATATATAAATGTATGCAAGGATCTTTGGCACAAACGGTTCCATCACACCGTTGTTCAACATCTTTCACAATTTTTGTGTGACTAATTAAGGGTAATTAATACTTATGATGAGTTTTTCACATTTATAATTTTCCCTTTGAATCAAACTGTCATTACTGTGTGTTCAGGATACCTACGATGTATTGAATATTCATATGTTGATAACATTCAAAGGACATCATTTAGTTGTTCAAGTGCAGGGACAAATTAATCTCACGTTTGCCTAAATTGTTGTCATTATGTGTATCCTGGATACTTACAGTTATGTGTTTCATATTTTGAATATTCTTTTACAATTATGTAACTATGTGTTTTGTATAGTTTCGATATTTTTTCGCAGTTTGAATATTGACATGTTGATAACATTCAGGGGACATGATGAGTGAAGTGATTGTGAGTGAAGTGATGAAAGACGATGCGAGCATGTAGTTATCAATTCTATCAACTGCTGTCTATTGTACACTCTAACTACAACGTCTTTCACCCTTTGTCGCTGACCTCTCTAACCACGTAAATAATTTTCCATCATAGTTTTATCGTCAATATTTCACAAGCGTATGTACGCTATACCTCTTAAGGATTTCGCGGCCTCTGTACGCTTTACATTTTCAACACTTTATAGGACTATAGAAAAACAAGTCAACGTATAGCAAGCAAGTACATGGATACTATTCACACTTTGGTAAGGATCAAATCATGGATTCAACAGAAAACTATGATGTGGCGTCAAATCTGTTTTAAATATCTAAGCTTATTGTAAGCATGGATCCTAGGTTTCAGTATGTCATTGGATCTTGAGGAACCCATACCTGCTATTGACAGGTTTTGTGTACTTGTCAATGACTCGTTCCATGATATGCAAAATGATTGAATGGCGCCATGAAAATAATGTTTATGGTTACTCATGTATGAGGTGCATAAGGTTAGATTAAAGTGACTGTTTACCTAAAGAGGTATTACCATACTATTATTTATCCATTTTTAAATGGATACAATTTTAAATTATAACTCTACGTTTCAGTAAAGTTGTGAATTTTTTGTCATCCTTAGCAAACTGGGGCGATCATTATGTATCACCGCATATAGAAATATCACTCGATTCGGATCTTCGGTGTGGCGCGCGACCACAAGGTTGGATTAGTTACCAGTATTTTTGCAAACATGTTAGATTTTTATAAAAGAAAACCCACCCAGATACGCGAGAACATTGCACACATTTATATAACGGCCATGGTGCCATGTCATTAGATTGTAGACACGACATACTGGCTTCATTTCACTTCCATTCTCACCCGTGGATCTCTCTGCTTCGTCCTTTATGCTCTCACTTTAATTATCACTTATAAATGTTGATTATGCATGTTCAACAAATATCCCAACCGTATCGCGTGCTCTTATATAGCTGTGCTATATTTTACCATCTGCGTTAGTAGTTGAATGCTGTTATCAGGTTTTAGCAGTTTTATAGCTAAACTTTTTAAACACTTATATTAATAATTATCAGATTTTTTTATATATTAGTTCTAATTAACATCATTTATCTTCACAATCCTCTTGTCATATATATGAACAGGTGTTGCTGCAAACTAAGGTAATATGATTTATTACACTTATTCTACATCTTACATATGTATGGTACACATTACGCAGTGTTCAGACTGATGAGGGTACAGATTATCAGTGTCCGGACTGGCAGAGGTTCAGACTGATGGGGTACAGATTATCCCGGTCTGGAATGACTGGGATTCAGACTGAGGGGTAGGGGCTGAAAGGAGATTAAGATTTGCGACACCCCGAATGACGACAGTTTGGATTGTCAGGATGTTACGGATTGACGTGATCGAACTGTCGTAGGTTTAGAATACTACGGTACGACCTCACAGGGAATCTGACTGACGTTGGTCTGACTGTCATGTGTTGAGATTGATGGGTACCTGACTGACGTTGTTTCAGTTTGGTGGGGTTCAGACTGACGGGTTCCCAGAGTACAAAAGTCACAATATTTACCATTTCCATTCATATTAGCATAGCGACTAGTTTCTGTTTCCTACTTGTAAGTAAATATTCTGCGCATAGTGAGTTCCTCTCTAAGTCCCGATGTCACATATCTGTAAGTATATATAGCAATCCAGAACAGCTTTGAGAAAATTTTGAATAGTTAGATATATTTAACTGTTCCTTTTTGTTAGGTAATGATTTATAATTATACTAAAGCTTTTAATATGTTTATTTCGTTGCATAAACATGTCCCAATTATCTGTTTATCAATATTCCCTTTTCTAATTGTAGTTTATGCTATGTGTTTATAATGTACATTTTGTTTATGTTGTAGGTTCTCCGAGACACAGGCGCTTGAAAATTGAAACTTTCAAAGCTGTGATATACATTCGATGTGGACCTGACGCAGTAAAACACAACGTCCAAAGAATAGGAGTTTTTAACAATTGATGTTGATTGTTTGCTCAAAGTTTATATCATGAAGCATGTCTATGAATGTGTGTGTTTGTTTATTGTTTAACGCCACACTGAAGTGACGAACAGACAGCCGTCAATTGATGTCATGAGCATCGTGGATGACATGCATCAATCAAATTGGAAAGGGTGGATTGCTCAAGACTCAAACCCGGATCAAACAAATCACTCCATTTCAGTTGGAAGGGAGCCCAAATGAAGCTGACGAAAATCTAGACTAGTTTCATTTCGTCATTTTGCTTTGAAGACAGAGCTGAGAGGAACGACAAATAATGTGGTTCAGTGGCTGTTAGACAGAAAGTAAATAGCGGTTGCGTCATCTTAAAGAGTATTTTACGTGTGTGTATATGCGTGAGCATCTTAGTCCAGGACAAATGTCAGTTTTATAGTGCCAGCCCACTAAAAAAGTTTGCCACAGTTTAACATGAAATACACAATGCCATTTTAGAAAGTGGTCAAATTTAACATATGTTATATTTGGGATTACCTTTTCTTAGTAATGTACAGATTCTAGTACTTTTTGTCCCATCCTGGATTCGAACCAACACCCTCAGAGTCACCTCAGGCACCTAATCGCCAGCACACAAAGTCAGACGCCTAGACGCTCAGCCACCGCGGCTTCCACAAAAATGGAAGTCGTACAACTGGTAGTCTAGACTGCGGACTTTGTGTACCCCCTCTGATAAGTGTTAATTGACACGTCTCCCACGGCCGAAAGCTATGAAAAAGTACACAATACCATTTTAGAAAGTGGTCAAATGTAACATATGTTATATTTGGATTACACTTTCTTAGTAAGGTACTGCGTATTTGATAGCTTTCGGCCGTGCTCACTCACTCACTAATAATATGTATTCCCCATTGTGAACAAGTGAGTGAATGAGTTAAAATTTAAAGTCACATCGGCAGTATTTCAGCCATATCGTGACTAAAAAATTATTGTGAACAAATGCTGCACTACATCTTCACCTATAGACTAATTAACACCCTGTCATTTCTATCTCACAAATGTCCGGTGTGTCTAAGAGTTCTTATTGTATTTTAATTATCTGCAAGCTTTCAACCCAGTGTATATTGTCTCACTCCACATTCAGAAAATATCACAAAAATCACTAGTGAACACCAGAAAGATAAGGACAAACCTTTTGGATGAACAACGTCTTTATTCAGGTAATGCAACGTTTCGATACAGATTCTTGTATCGTCAAGCAGGTGACGTTTCGATTCAAATTCTTGGATCACCTACTTGACAACGATACAAGAATCTGTATAGAAACGTCGCATCACCCGAATAAAGAAGTGGTTCATCCATTGCCGTTGAACTTATCGGACTCTCCAACTAAAAATCTCTCTCAAAGAAGCAACACCAGAAAAGCGCTTCAGGATTACATAGTGTATCCATGTAGCAAATCAAACCCAGTCTTTTGGTATGACAAGCGAACACTTTAACCACGATGCTACCCTCGTGTTTGTTCAAATAACATGTACGTCTTGCACATATTATCTGTTCAAGGAGTCTGACAGTCAAAAAATAGTTTTACTTTGTATATAATTGCCTCCAACAAACGTCACATTGACCCTTTACAACTTAATGTAACAGGCCTGACGAATATTACATTTCACTTGTTTCATATCGAATATTTCATTGTGAAACTTAACCTATTGTATGACAACCAGAAGACGTGCGTACTGGAACATAACACGGTCATTACGTCAAAGGAGTGTTCTCAAATTTCAATGATATTCACATAATATGGTACCAGAAAAAGATTTCACCTCAAGTCATGTATATTTAGTCGACCAAGATCTTTTTTGTCGAGTTTTACCATAAATGGCAAGATTGAACAGCCTAAAACTAAGGATTTGAAACTGGAACTTTGTTACTTTTTACAGCAACAGCTTGCTTCTTTTAGTGAGAAACAATAGCTGAAACACTAAAGCCAGATATGCTTTTGAAATGATCAAGGAAGAAAAGTTCAATAACTGAGGTCGATTTCCTCCTTGACTCTCGCCATAAACGTCATCGTTCCAAACAAGAAGTGTGGTTGATAAATCTCACTTGAATATAACATCTATATGTGTAAGGACTAAAGTCGCCACTAGCTAAATACAAATAATAATAATACTTTCAAAACGAATCGTTATGATTATTTACACTCATGTTCTAGAACTTTTGCCGTAACTCTGCATTTAGTTTTCATAACTCGCTTCTGCCGAAACGTTAAATGTCACGTGTTATCATGAGATCACGGATAATAGCAATGATAACATGTTATCCTCGTTTCTAAAGATAGCACTTCTAGAGGAAAAATCATGTTTTTCATGACTGAAGAAATATCAAATTGTGTTTGTATCATGTTGACAAAAACACTTATCAGCAGATAGTAATGTTACTGATTCTCTTTCCGACGTCACAAGTTTACCTCAAAGCCCCGGGTATAGTGCTATTCACATGTCACTGGTCTGCCAAGCTTGTTTACGCTACTTCACCAGCACGTGTTAAAATCGTAACTAGACATATCCGTAGTTCGAGACAAGCAAAGTGTTGTTTTTTATAACATATAGTCACAAAGTGCCCGTTTTCGTAAAACAATCTTAGCGCTACGACAATCTTAGCGTCATTCCCAAATGCAAATTTGTAACCCGTGAAGATCCGGGTTAGAACTGATCTTCAGTTACACATTCTTGTCGTTAATCTAACGGGATCGGGTGGTCAGGCTCGCTGAATTGGTTGACACATGTCATCGTATCCCTATTGCGTAGATCCATGCTCATGCTGTTGATCACGGGACTGTCTGGTCCAGACTCGACTATTCACAGACCATCGTCATACAACTTGAGTATTGTCGAGTGTGGCTATAAGCAACCAACCAGCCAACCAACCAACCAACCAACCAATACAGGCTTGCAGCAATCGTCGAGCAAAGGACGTTTTGTGGAACGAGACAGGGTCAGATTAGGATTGTGATTCACACTATGAGGAAAGATTAAATAATGCCAAACTATGCTGCCATGTAAAGTAGAGGAAACTTGCTGATCACGTGTTTCATATATGCCTATTGGTCTCAGTTCAACTGTTTACTGGAAGAGGCCAATAGTGATAACACTGTACCTATAAAGGACTCGTTACATTGATACACAATGTGACTGTACAGTACAATTTATACATGCATTGTTCCTGTCGGCGGTAGTGGACAATGAATGGGCAAATATTACTCTTACATCTGGCAAGGCCTGAATAAAGCCTTCTAAACGTTTTAAGGTAGACACGTGGAGAAATGTTCGTGATGTGACTCACCAGTGACAATAAAGATGTCCCGTGTGATTTCCTATTTTGACTTGTACTATACTTACCAATTAGTTCTGGGTGAACAATTGATTAGCCTTTGCATGTGTTTATGACAAGTGCGCTGTTTGAGCAGGATACGCTCACCTTTTCGGGAACATTTGGTGTCATCAACATTTGATAGGGATTGATAAATAGCACACGCTCACATGAAGTCGAAATCGTACAACTGACTGTTTTTGGCAAATATTCCTTGTGGATGTGGAGATTTGCTGCGTTAGCCATCCAGCGTGTCATGCATCCATTCTATTACAATAAAGAAGCTCGACTCATTACAAAGCTTCATCTTTACATGGGTTATATAACTCGACGCCAAAACAAGTGTTCGGTTTGGAAATTTTGTGTGAAGTTACTGATATGGAGATGATGACGTCACTTCTGAAACGCAGCAGTTGTAGATGATGGTTTCGAGGATTTATCAGGGTAGGATAGACACATAATACCCTGTCTGATCGAGGATGGATGTTGTTTCTATGGGTGGTGTATACCCTGTTTTCACAAGTTATACTTAACAACGTGGTGTCCAGCACTCTCAATACACATCCAGTGCGCTGTTTACAATATTTTTATATTTGAATATTCTTATTTGCTACCATACATACAAATTCTCAAAACAGTTACTGTCCTTCTGTTAATTTTCAACATGAAAGTTGAGATTGATAGTACGACGTGCCGTTGAGATTGACATCCAGTGATCGAGGGGGAAAATGTCAGCGCCTATGAGCATGTACTTGATACATGGATATGTGCGCTTCAAAATATCCTATAATAATAATTAAAGTTGTGGAAACAATTTGATGACAAATCATTCAATATCGAAACACCATGTTCCCTCTGCGACACCTGTGGCACTGCCATGTAAGCAACAGGAATTCACTGAACAGAGTTGTGTACCTTGGTCCACCAGGAACCAGTGATCCTGATTAACCCCGATTTTGTTTCTAGGTGTGTCAGAACCAGACCCATGCTCGTTGCTTTCACCAAAGTGGTAAACGTTGAACACTTGCCAGGAAAAGCAATGACACGGTGTATACATAGGTTATTCATACAGTTGTATTTCAATATCCTTATTTGGCTAACAGTTGCTCGAGCTCACGTGATGTATGTTTGTGTATCTTAGAATAAAATAAATACGTCAATACCGTGATAAAATAGATTCAAATCAACTCTTACAAATAAATATTTCAACAATATCACTTCACAAAACTGCCTGACCAATTGCTAACGCACCAAAAGTATAGTCACACCGTTTTGTTCAATAAAGGCAGCAACAATGTCAACTAGGAAACAGTATTCCACATATACAATCTCGGGATTCAATCCTTTTACAACCAACATGAATAATATGAGAGATTTTGTCAAGTGTATGCTTATTTACCAAAGCTAGTTCCCAGAGTCTGCTTGGTTTACACAAACTCTCAAAAGGATCACAGACTCTGGATTTAACAACATCCTTCCATTGTCAGTGCCTACAACAGTGTTCTCCAACACAGAACATACTACACAGAAAAGTGTTCCTGAGTTTACTGGACACTAACACCCACCTAACACTACAAACGCCCCTCGACCCATTAAATAACACTCAGACTTTCAAAGCCATTGGTACATTTCTAATCAAAACCGGTCTTCCAGGTCGCACAAATTATACTGGACAAAATAGGTTAGGGATATTTGTGTTTTTATAATTGATATGTTATTAATGTGTTTTTGAATAAATAGATCATTATTCATAATTTCAAAATTTACATATATCCCTAACTATTTTTGTCCAGTATATAACATAACCTGCAATCAAAGAAGAAAACACCAGATAAACCAATCACATTTAGGAATGCCTCATAGCGTATCGAATTCGTCTATGTATGTTTTATATATGTATGTGGTGGAGTAATTATCGTCGTTTGACAATCAATAATTGAAGTCTTTTAGAAAGCAATCATGTTAGCACATACCTGTTCCTCAAAGCTGTCGTAACCCTAAGATGATCGTAATCCCCATATTTTAACATAGACTTACGACAGTCGTAGCGCTACGGTCGCTTTGAGGTACGGAGCCCTAGTTTGTATACACATCAAAATAATGTGACACACAAAATGCTTTGGCGAGTGATGTACTGACAATGTCAGTCGTAAGAAGCATGTTTGCACCGTTGTTATCCATTCTAAGCACCTTCTAACAAACCATGTCAATTTCTCCCAGGTGTGAGCTATCTGCTGGCACACATGAATGCAGTTGATGCAGTAGCAGGGGAAACTGGGGATTCTTCCTGGTTGATCTTCCACAGCTGGGATATAACGTCAAAGGACTGTAGCGCCATACAACAGAAATTATACTGCCTTAGTCGGGGCGGTAACGTTAACTACGGGTGTGGAAACCAAAACTGGTGTCATCCACGTCTTCGGTAAGGACATCAGCGTTTACATATACCATTACTTTGTCGTCTTTACTCCCCTCCCGATCTCGGCCCTCGGCTCCAGGTATGTAGTGTCCACCTGTCTGGGTTACACGGATCACGTGGTGTTAGTGATTGCTAACTACAACCAGAAGACGGACGTGGACATAACGCTGATGCTGGAGGGGAACGTCACCTATGACAACATGACATACAACGACGGAGACACGATTCACGTGAGTCTAGGGGAGTATCAGACCTTCACGTTGAAGAGTGCCTGTGACCTGACTGGAACTGTTATCAACACAACACGTGCTGTAGCTGTGTTCAGTGGGGCAATGCAAGGAGATTATGTCAGAGCCGTTGCACAACTATATTACCTGTACGTCATCACGGGACTGAGTTTGTTCTGTCTACACAGGATTTATCCTCTGCAAGGGGCCCTGCATACCAGCTGCAAATTGTTAGTTACCAGTTCGACGCTGAAATTATGTTGAACAATGGATCTACATTCTCTCTTGGTGACAATCCAGTGTATAGTCAAAACCTCGTGTATAACGAGACACTGTATTTTAATACCACAAGACCCGTCATTGCAACCTTGTGTAGAGTCGGCGCACTAATACACTACCATGGGTTTGTTGTTGTAACTCCAGTTGAGTATTTTAATAACAATGCACATGTTTATCATGCAGAATGTATAAACATACTGACTAAACAACACGTCACAGATATTGAAGTATTTAGGAGTGGCATGACCCCTGTTACACTGGACTGGATGGACATCCCTGGCAGTGATTACAAAGAGGGAACAGCTTGTTCTTACAACAGTTACTTTGTCCGCTCTACCAACAGATTCGCTCTGTATGTTTTTACTACGATATTACCACAGGAGGCTACCAGGAGGCTACCAGGCTACGATATTCTGATTTTTGGAAAAGAAAAACATTAAGCAGGAGATATACATACGTTGTTTTCAGTGTAAAATTGTGGAATCTGAGGATTTATCGCTTTATTGGAATTAGAATCTAGTTAGATAACGACACATTAACTGTTGCTGGGTGTCAGAAATATGACATATATATATATTGGTTTCATATGTAGAAGAGGGCGTGTGCCAAACATATTTAATACACATAGATGAACAAGAGTCTCTACGAGAAACATACAAGAAATATATTTTGAGTATGATTTCATGTGTCATTCCAACTGCATGAGCGAAGAAATATATAAATATATAATGGGATCTGAGACACGAACGGCTCCACTTCAACATTTTTCAATAATGTTATTAACATTAAGTTCGATGGACAATTAGAACCATTCATGCTTAAACTGTGGTCATTATGTGTGTCCTGAATAATTACAAAGTTTTTTTCCACATTTTGAAAATTCTTTAATATCCAAATATCCGTCACTGTGTGTGTCCTGGATACTTACGATTTGTTTTTTCAGATTAAATATTCATATATTCAGGGTCCTCATGAGTGAAGTGTGTTTGTGTGTGGAGTAATGAAAGAGGATGGATTACTTTCAATTCTGTCAACTTCTACTTCAAACTCTTACTCCAACGTCTGTCGCCCTTTGTCACTTACCTCTAACCGAGTTTTGCGTCTGTCTTTTTATCGTCAGTGCTACACCGGCTTATCTACGAAAGCCTAGCCTCTCTGAATATATATATAATTTTGATAGTAACAAACAAACCCATATAAATTGAAAAGAAGTCCCAGGGAGACCAGAGATTCCTGAACCTCAGGAAATCTAGACTTGCTTCATTAAGGGCTTTAGCATTCCAGAGCAATATATTTAATTATATAACTGTTGGACAATAATGACATATAATAATAACAAATGATACTCATCCCCAAAACCATGAATTAGCTCAGATAGTTCACAAAAATTGCAAAATGTGTAATTCCTATTCATATTGGCATAACGGGCAGTTTCTAGTTTTAACTTGTTAGCAAATATTCAGAGCATACTGTGCACATGTGAAATGTCTAGGTACATTTGGTAACCGAAAATAGCGCTGATATTACCATGAAGATAACGTCACAGGCATATAGACAATTTCTTTCTTATATGGTATTATTTTAAGTTACATTCATTTTTTCGGATGTTTCATGTCTTTGACTAAAAATTGCCTGATTATCTGTCCACCAATATCCCTTCTCTTGTTGTAGTTAATGCCATATGTTTATATCGTACATTTTGTTGTAGGTCTCCAGGACAAGTCGCGCTTGAAAAGTCAAAACTTATCAAGCCGTGACACACATTCTATGAGGACTTATGAGAATAATTTTATCCATTGATTACTATAAGATTAAAACATTTCTATGTGAGTTTCTTGGTTATTTTACGCCGCAGATAATCCAGTGATTGACATCCTTTGCATCTATCTAAGCACATGGCACACGATGGCTGCATCAACCCAGATAGTGAGCCTACACTGCTCAAGACCCAGACCTAACCTCGTATCTTGAAGTGGATATGCTTGTTTCTATCGAAATATAAGTTTCTCTCGTCAAATAGAATAAATCAACTTATAACGAATTTGGAAATGACATATCATCATGGTAGGTAGGCACGGATAGCCCAGTGGTCTGTGGCGCTAGAATTCGCCAGTGTCCAGTGTCCTACAAGAAACTTATGGCCGTGGGTTCGAATCCCTGATTATGTTTCTGAGTTGGCTTAATATGCAACAAATGGTACACGTGGGTTTCACCATAGTTGTAAATATCTAACACCTTCATCACTTCGGACTTTTTCCACAGCAAGCTGAGAAGCCGTTATATAACTGAAATACCGTTGACGACGGAGTGAAACCAAACTCACTCTCCAGCCAAAGTGGAGGATCAGCCATTGTGAGCTGTATCATGGCGGCCGCTACACTCGGCATTCCAGGGCCACGTTTCACAAAGCTATCGTAGCTACGACTGCCATACCTATTTTACTATAACATTGACTTACGACAGTCGTAGCGCTACGATAGCTTTTTGAAACGGGGCCCTTTGACCAAGAGCTACGATACCGGCCTACTGGGAGAGGCAATCAGTCAGGAAGTCTGCTAGATTTGTTACACGCTTGTGAGGGCGTATTAGTCGTTACTAATGTCGTCTTTATAGAGTTGAACCACTGAACTAGTATGCAGCAGTTTTAACATGAATACTAGTATCCTACTCAGAAACTGTATACTGACTAATAAGAACGAGGATCATTTCATGGATATACAACTTCTTATTCTGTGAAAGGCGACGTTTCGCCGTAGATGCTAATGTTATTGACATCACTTGATTGACATTAGAATCTAAGTCCAAACGTCGCCTTTCCCAAAAGAAAGAAGTTGCATATCCATAAAATTATCATTCTCCGTTACCTCAACTTCTAAATGTCCTTGAAAGAATTGCATACTGACTCTCAGCGGACCAGGATTTGCTTTTCCCCCTTAATGCTGAGTTAAACGTCTAATGGTATTAGGCTTCCTGAGATCAAACCATGGACTTTCAGCTATCCATGCAGACGTTCTATGTGAGTGAGTGAGTGAGTTAATATTGCCGCCATAGCAGCAAGAGGCAATAGACGGTATTCTCAGTGTGACTGGCGTCATTGTTGCCCGATAGGAGACAAGGATTGGTTTTTGGTTCAAGTCTCTTTTTTTGTCAGAAAGCAGAATCACCTTCAATGAAGAGCATATATTTGGCTTAAAGGGTAAACATAATAATCCTTTGAATGTTGTTATCATGATAACAAAATCTCTCCTTTACAAATTTAATAGGAAAATGACTAAACCAAGCTTTTTAACCTTTCCCCCAAACATAGTAAGATATTATGAAACCTCAAAGTTTATTGCATATTCAAATTGTAACTTTCATGCTTTCTGGTCTTCTTTCCATTTACTGTTTAGAAATCGTCTACACTGATTCCTGAAAAATGAATACATTATAAAACTATATATACATATATGTATGTGTATATGGGTGTATATGTGTATATGGGTGTATATGTGTATGTATATGAATGTGTATATGTATTGTATATGTGTATGTATGGGTGTATGTATGTATGTGTGCATGTATGTATGTATGTATGTATGTATGCATGTATGTGTGTGTGTATGTGTGTATGCATGTATGTAGTATATGTATGTATGCATGTATGTATGCATGTACACACGACACTGATCTTCTCCAACATGTTTCACTCCTATCTTCAAAACACGTTGGAGAAGATCCGTATCATGTGATTATTTCAGATACTTCTTCTTATATATGTACTACTGTACGCTCCGTATTCTCATCACTTTCTTTATATATATATATATATATATATATATATATATATATATATATATATATATATATATATATATGCGTATGCAGATATATATGTGTATGTATGTATCAATATGTGTATGTATATCTGTGTATTTATGTATGTGTCGCTGAGACATTTACAACAATAGCCATAAAGTCTGCGGCACACTTAACTTATGAATGTTCAGAATGGATGTAAAAATGTAACTTCAAAAGATGGACATTAAAAAAGTCTCTTTTTTATTGTACATCATTGTTTCCAGGCGGAACGTCAGGTGGAATCTGTTTGCAAGGACTCTCAAAGAAGACGAAACGAGAATTGTGCCATTTCAGGAAATCTGGATATCAACGTTTCTCTTAAAGATTTCTGTCCTTATGCTCACATATTGTCATAGTTCCACATACGATTAAGTAATACAAACGTCACTTTACTATCAACTACATTTTAGCAGTCCATCGTTCACACCTTTTAACTTCCGTGTACCACAACATGAGGAGAATGTCATGGGGTCTACACTGCCAAAAGTGGAGCCTGTACAGTCTTGACAGAGAACGTTCAGACCTACCACCACATTAACTAATCCAAGTGGGGCTTTCAGGGGGGACATGGAGGATGAGAAACTGTCCCCACCCAAGACGCCCTGTTACGACGTAAATTGTAATAACGCGGTAAAATGTAATAAACTGCGGCAAATTGTAATAACACCGCGGTAAATTGTAATACCGCGGTAAATTGTAACCGCAGGGGTTATTACAATTTGCCGCAGTTTAAGTTATTACAATTTGCCGCAGTTTTTATTACAATTTACCGCGGCTCAGTTTTTACAATTTACCGCGTTTTTTATTACAATTTACCGTGGTATTACAATTTACCGCGGTGTTATTACAATTTGCCGCAGTTTATTACATTTTACCGCGTTATTACAATTTACGTCGTAACACGCCCGTCGTTGTTCATTAAGGATTCGAATAACAACAACTGTTTTAACACAAGTCACTGCACCTTACTAGTCGCCCCTAAGGACCATGGTGAGATCCACTCACAAAATTCCCGCTGGACCAGGTACTCTAATGACTGACATCAACATTCAACTAAGCAAATAAAATTCGTTGATGTCCAATCAACCAAGTCAATGAGAGTGTAATGACAAATATAGCATATGTTACGTTTGACCCCTCCCATGATGACTTTGTGTGATCATCATAAATCATAGCTTCGTAACAACAAATTTGCCTTCATGGCACAGTGTTACAAAATCATTTCAAAATCAGACTAGACATAGAGTTCCACATGTCAACACCAGAGATGAAATCTGTTCATTTCATCAGAGAGAGCAATTGTAGCAAACGTAGCTTCAGTCACGACCATGACTAGATTTACCTTAATAGATAGTGTGATCAGGTGTTATCGATGAGGAAAAGCTATCCGGTAAATTTGGCATCACCATACAATAAATACACAAATGAGGTCACCTAGCAGAAAGTACATTTTAACTCCACACATCACTGCGAGGTGTGCTAGCTCAATCAGCTGCTGACTAACGTTCCCACTAATATTGCATGGTGTTTGGCTGAATATGGCTGATTCCGTTCCCACAGAAAGTTGCATAATGCTCTGCACAAAAAGATAAACTGGACATTTACACTGACACCGTAGTAATATACAGTGTCTACACTTACTTCATCGAGCGAATTAGCTGAGTGTGTTTTCGTTCTATAAATACATCTTAAAAGTCAACGCAAGGGTATAACCAGTATCTGAAATCGACAAAAACAGACATAATTGTAGCAGGCTGAATAATACAAAGTGCTCAAAGACAATACAATTGGTTCTAATATATGGTATTTATGGTGAGGGTAATAATCTGCATTCCCTAATTGTGAACAAATGCTGCACTACATCTTCACCTGTATACTATTTCTGTTGTGTTGAAGACTTCTTATTGTATCTTAATTATCTGGAAGCTTTCAACCCAGTGCATATTGTTTCACACCACATTTAGAAAATATCATAAAAATCACTAGTGAACTTCAGAAAGATAAGGACAAACTTTGTGGTGATGCGACGTTTGAATACAGATTCTTGTATCGTCAAGCAAGTGACGTTTCGATTCAGATTCTTGGATCAGCTGCTTGACAAGGATACAAGAATCTGTATCGAAACGTCGCATCACGCAAATAAAGAGTTGTTCTTCCATTGAGTTTGTCCTTATCTGCCTCGTAAACTAAAATCCTACCAGCGCTTTATGATCACATAGTGAAATTATTGGCAAGTCCAACCCAGGCCATCGGTATGACGAGCGAACACTTTAACCACGATGCTACCTTTGTGCTTGCTTAAATACCACGTACGTCTTGCGCATGTTATCTGTTCAAGGAGTCTGACAGTTAGGGAATAGTTTCTCTTTGTGTATAATTACCTCCCCAAAACGCCACATTAACCCTTTACCACTCAAAGTGACAGGCTGGAACAATATTACATTTTACTTGTTTCAAATGGATTATTTCATTGTGAACCTTAACCTATTGTATGACAACCAAAAGAAGTACCCGCTGGAACATAACACGGTCAGCACGTCACATGAGTGTTCTCAAATGTCAATAATATTCACACAATATTGTTGTAGAAAAAGATGTGATTTCAACCATGTACATTTAGTCGACTAAGATCGTCTATTTTCTCGAGTTTCACCAAAGTGGAAGAATAGCCTAAAACTAAGGACTTCAAGAATGAAAACTTTTCACATTCAGAGTATCTGTAACAATACCGTAACAGTATTATTCTGGTTTCAAGATAGGGAAATAACTCTAAATGAGGATTGTTGACGTTTGTTGAAATCTCGGTAACAACTTTTCTCGTAAAGATAACTGTCCTGTGAACCACTTTAGGTCACTCAAACGCATTTTTAACAAAGGATTCTAATCGTACCAAATGATCAATGGTACAACGATTTTTTCTGAAACCACATTGAATATTTGTTATAAGGTTATTGGTTTCGCGATACCATGTTAATCTATTGTTTACCATTCGGTCCATGGTTTTACAAACACAACTCGTTCAAGAAATTGGTCTATAATTAGATGGATCAGTATGATCCCATCCAGGTTTTGAAATTGGGACTACAATGGCATCACGCCAGGAAGTTGGGAAATTCCATATTGAGTCAAAGTCATATTGAGTCAAAGATATTTAGAAGTGTGTCCAAACATGATGCAGGTAAATGCTTCAAGAGCTGATAGTGTATGTTATCAGCTCCTGTTGCTGTATCATGAACTTGATCAAGGGCAGTGTGTAGCTCATGTAATGAAAATAATTCATTATAATCTTCGCCATTGTCTGAGTTAAAATTTATTCTCCTCTTCTTCTGTTTCAGGTATTGTTGAAATTCTGGGACGTAATTTGACGAAGAGGAATGTTTGGCGAGAGTTTCACCAAGCTTATTGGCAATGTCAGACTTATCAGTTAATAAATTGTCACCATCCTTCAGATGGTGGACAGTACATTTAGAACCATTGCCCTTTATTCGTTGAATCATATTCCAGACCTTTGAAATTGGTGTGAGTGAATTATTAGCCTTTGCGTGTGTTTATGACAGGTCCGCTGTCTGAGCAGGGTACGCTCACTTTCTCAGGAACATTTGCTATCATCAACATTTGAAAGTGACTGATAAATAGCACATGCTCCTATGAAGTCGAAATCGTACAACCGACTGTTTTGGGCAGATATTCCACGTGGGTTATATAACTCGACGCTAAAATAACTGTTCTGTTAGGAATTTATGTGAGAAGTTACTGATATGGAGATGAAGCGCAGCAGATATAGATGATGGTCTCTGGGATTTATCAGGGTAGAATAGAAACTACTTCCCTGTCTGATCGAGGATGGATGTTGTTTCTATGTGTGGTGTGCTGTATACGCTGTTTTCACAAGTTTTCCTCGTTTCTAGATATAGCATATACAGAGGGCAAATCATGCCTAATTATTTCCATTTTGTCAGGTTGTATTTGCGTCATGTTAACAAAAATATTTATCAGCGTGTGTTGTAACCATCAAAGCTACAGAGCCGATTCTCTCATCAACGCCACGAGTCTACCTTAAAGCCCAGGGTCAAGTACCTTTCAGGTGTCACTGGTCTCCAAAGCATGTTTAAGTTATTTCATAAGCACTTGTTATAACTTTAACTTTTAACTAGAAGACGACATATCCGTAGTTCGAGACAAGCAAAGTTTTTATTTCCCATAAAACGACCCTTAAACAAGTAGAACTCGTATGATGGGATTGACACAACTCGGTGTCCAGCAATCTATACACATGTAGTTCAATATTTACAATATTTGATTATTTGATTATTCCTATTTGCTACCATACTTACTATGTTCTCAAATCAGTTACTGGTCCAGCTGAGAAGTTTAAGCATCAAACTCAAGTTGTGGATACAAAATCTGTTTTGGAAAGCATATTTTATGACATTATCATCCAATATTATAAATATCGTGTTCCCTAATGGACACTTGTGGAAGTGGCGTCTTAGGAGCTGGAATTCACAGAACAGAGTTGTGGGCCCTGATCACTCTAGAAAGCAATGACAGTTAGTTCGAATCCCGATTTTGCTTCTAGGTTTGTCAGAACTATACCCATGCACGCTGCTTTCACCAAATTGTTTACCGTCTGAAACTTGTCAGGAAAACAATAGCAAAGGAATCGTATAATATTATTCTTTTATACAGTTTCATTTCAACATTCATATTTGGCCAACAGTTGCTTGAGCTCACGTGATGTAGGTTTGTGTATCTTTGAATTGAGTACATACGTCAATATCTTGATCAATGCAAAATATATTGAAATCAGTTCTTATAAATAAATATAACAACAATAATACCGTCACAAAACTGCCTGCCCATTTGTTAACAAACCCAAACGAGAGTCACACCGTTCAGCTCAATAAGGCAACAACGATATCAACCAGGAAACAGTAAACAGTGGTGTGTGTGGCATTATGGCTTTTTCGGTCA